AGAAAACATCCTTACAGGCCAATGCACTGGTGTTGACATTACTAAAACAGCCTGTTGTATGGTATGCAACAAAAGTCTTCCAACAGAAGCTTCAGATGATGAAATGATCACTTGTAATAATGGCAGGATAACAACACCATTGTCCTTGTTGAAATGTCCAAGATTATAGTAGATTAATTTTATTTCTTGGCCACACATGACAGGATTGTCCATCCCCTAATTTTGTCACGTATGTCCAAGATTGTTACAAAAATAATTCATATTTACAATTTTACATTGCTTCATCTATGAGAGAATTATGTGTGTTATGGTGAATTTTTATACATAAGGACACTTTGTGATGCCTCTCATGGGCTAGCGTGGCCCCCTCTACGTGTAATCCTGGACATTACTCGATCTTGTGAGAGTGAAATTTTAAAATTTGCGATAGAGAGGCATACCAGAAGACTCCCCTAAAAATAAAAGGAACATTCCAAATTTACCCCATGTAATCGTCGACTACCTATTTTTCAAGGCATTCTGTAGAGTAACGAAAAACAAGACACTGACTGCCAGCACTGAACACCACACCGAGTTCAGATCCACTGCAGTCCTACCGCCACTTCAAAGGCCTCTCCGAGAACACTTCGCCGCTGTCTTCGATAACAAAGCATACGCGCTGTTTTCAAGTCAGAGGCTACGCCACGATCACACCCAATACGCCCGAAGGATGCTGTCGAGCTAACTAAAACAGGATGGCGTAGTCTACAAGATTCCCTGTAAGTGCTGGGAAACGATTGTATTTCTCTTTTTGAAATGATAAAATTGGACACTGAATGGTTCCATCTCGTGTCTTTCCTATGGCTGAGCATGAATTTTATTCATGCAAATTTTCACATGAAGAGCAAAATACTAAGGGACGTGTGATGGCTTTTTCGACTTCCGAAGCTAAGCAGCAGCCTCGCGCTCGCCAAAACTAGCGAAGACAGCCTGAAAAGCCCTATTGCTGCACATTTTTTTTTATATGACATTTCGTCGTAATTTGTGCGATACATGGAAAATCTTCTTCAAACCTGTTAGAATTATTTCAATAATCGAAAATGTATTTGATCAAAAGTTGTGTGCAGCTATAATGAAAACTATTACTGGTCATAGAGAATGGAAGAGAACTTAACTATATTTCTAACAAATACGGAGTTCACTTTTCAAATTTTGGTCAATCTTTCTTCGGTCAAGTCAATGAATCAGGTCGTTTTGAGCGATTGGTCATTTGATATGAGACTTTTTAGGCCTCTCCACTCAGTAATTCCTTTCCCGAATTGAAATTAAAGCATGCCGGTTCAGTCAGACTTGCTAATACTTCAAAATAAACTATCCTGTCAAAATAAAATATCCTTTTCCTTGAAGGTGAGATCGTCAGTCGAAAGGTTGTTCCAACTCAAGCTACAGCCACAGAAAGAATTCATCTCCAAAGGTTTTCATTTATCTCACTCAAACAGAACAATTTCTTCCTTCAAACTTGATCTCGTCTTCCGAGATCGGCTACCCCGAGACATGTAACTGTGAGGTCATCGTGCTTAGCTTTCGTACTAAATGTCCAGTGCGAAAATCGCCTCACATCCCCTATCTGTTCGATGCCAATACCGAATGGGCAACAGGACGAAATGTGCTATATTTTGCTGCAATAACGAGATCCCCAAAATACCGATATTGCATTTTTACGGATGATGATGTGGTGCTGCACTTCGATTCATTCGTTCCGCCACAAATGAATAGGCTTCCGCCGTTTAGAGTCTTCGAACAATGGCTCCTAGAGTACGAGCCTGTAGTTGGCGTTGTGGATTACAAATGGCATCATAGGGCCATCTGGACCAATGAGAGACGAAAGAAAATATGTAAAAAGACGGACAGTCCCCTCATGATACCAACAGTATGGTATGATGGTCTTTTCAATGCATTTCATCATAAATCTACCGTTCGCAGTATGAAAGCAAAAGCTGGTAGCCAGAGCAAAGGTACGTGTTTACTTCTATAGAACTGATATTTCGACGCCAGGCATTGATGTTTGTGCCTGTTACTGCGGGAAATCCAAAACATTGCCCATACCAGAGGTCTTTAAAGAGCGAAAACACAAACTGGAGAGATTACATCGATACAATTCGAGAGGAAGCTTCTTTAATGAACAGAAATAGAACTTTCTCCGAAGATTTTAGGCAGAATCTTGAGGATTACGATATCAACACGAGAACGTACTGCATGAATGTAATCCGGCGTCGAAACATTAAACCATATGCTCATTTTGATTGTCAGACAAAAATGTAGACAAAGAGGTTAGTGAAGAGATAAACTATTGTTTAGCGATTTTTCTTATTATCCTTTATTCTAGGCTCAGTCAGTGGATAAAATGCTAAACCCATTCAATGATGAGCCATTTTGTTTGTTTATAAACTTATTGAACTGTCACAAAGTGTTAACAGAGAGAGGAGGAGTTCGACTGAACTGCTATCACATTGGGAATCAAACCAATTTCACTTGTTCGTCGCACTCAGTTTATTTTACAAAGGAAGTATTTCCTGATCCAAATTTTTATTAATTATATCTGTGATTTAGTACTTTCACCATGATTGGGGAATTTAACGGGCCTCATTAAACTGCCCAGGCCTCTAAATTAAAATTTCATTTTTTCGAACCGAAACCATCGCCTCTGCTTGAACCCAGGTATTTGATAAGCTCGTTTTCTCGATCCGTATTTTTAAAATTTAGGGAACCTCGTTTTGGACCATCAAAGAGAGGGAAATAGAGATCAGTAAGAGGTATGTGTCTTCACCAATGAAAATCGTACATTGAATTATCGTAACCATCCGCCTTTTGAGATGCCGAAGGGCAAACAAGCTTTTCGGAGATTTGACTTTGAACGGCGCCATTGTAAAAACATCGTAGTAACCTGGCCTTAAATTCATAACCATTATGCGAGCTTCACAAAAGGCTGCTGTTTTGACTTTTGAAAAGAAAAACTATTTTATGAGTCGAGGATGCCTTTTCGTGGTGCTATCAACTATCTAAGCAAATCGTTAAGGGATGAAAAAAAATAGCAGACGTTTCATCAGTCACAGCTAAGGAGCCAGGCTGCTAAGCATGATGTAAGATGATGGCGGTCGTTGTCCATTTTCAGCACAAATGACGATAAATTCCGAAAGTTAGTTATGAGCGGGTGTCAAAAATCACTGCAAGTGTGACGTCACGCAGCAAAAGAACAAGCGCTTCGCATAGCTTGCTCAGTTTAGCGAGGCAACGTCATTAGTAAGAAACAAAGAGAAAGCCAATAGAAGCTATTATTAAGTTACTACTAACTAAATTAAACTGTGTGTGCAAGGTTTGTTGTATATATTGAATTTGAGTTTAATTGTCTATTGTTTTGTGAAAGTGATTGACTGTAATTTCATTGATTACAATCCTGGACAAGTGAGCTGACTGCCATATTGACGTAATTCAGCCAAAGGGTAGAGTATGATTTTTAAAAAACTCTCTCCATGTATCTCTCCATGTATCTATCTTTATCTACCATTTTGTACCACGAGATCTTTCTTTCACTTTCCCAAGCTTCTAAAAACTTCCAAATTCTTTCTATGTTACTCAGGTTTATGAGGAAGAAATAATTTTTTCTATCAGGATATTTTAAAAACAGAGTGTTTCTCATTCAAAATCTGGATGTTGTTACAGTGGCAATCACTCTGTCATTGTATTTTCTTTTATGATATCACAAGGTAAGGTTTTTTTTTATAGCATTAACCAGTCAAGCCTTTTATTTTGTTTTAGCCTGTCATTTACATTTCTATTAACTGAACTTTTCCTTTTTTCATGGAAAGTTTTATACAGGATTTTCTTCAAGAAAATGTTTAAGAGCTTTTCAAATTTAAACAGGGTACTTCATCAATAACTGACTGTAAATATATGAAAATCATACATGTGAACTGCGGATAAAGATATGAATATGGAAGCGATCTTCGCAGTCATGAACACTACTTAAGCAGTAGTGAAAACAAGGCCTGGAAAATTAAAAAAAAAGTTATCTTGGACCAACATAATAACCAGAGCGCTGCACCGGTATCGCAGAGATCATGGGTTCAAATCTTGTACAGGCCTGAATTTTTTTTCAAGCCTTTTTTTCACTACTGCTTAAGTGGTGTATTCAATCACGTCGTCCAATCTCAGAGAAGTATTTTAGGTCCCATGGCCCCGCTATCAATTCTAATTCAGTTCTAATTTTAGTTGAAATGGCCTGAAGAATAAATCTCTAATTTGTTTGAACTAAAGGCCTTCAGTTTGAACCGCTGCTTTTTTTCAGTCCTGATTCAATAGCGTACCGAACCTTAGGGGAAACAACGTTTTCGAAATTGTTAATGACTGACCTGTTTTATAGATTAACGTTATCCTGTTTTATTGCCGAGAACGTGAACTTCAATGTTCTGCGGCGAATTTAGTAAATTCGGTTTCAGAGCTAGAAACGCACCTTTTCCTTCTCAAGGCTTCCAAGAATTTCAGTGAAAGCGCAAAAATCTAGAGGAACTTGTCCCTGAAACAAGTCCATGCAGTTGGTCCCCTCGTGTGAGCCGAGCTTTGGCGAAAAAGCGCATGGCTTTGGAAGTAGGATTAGAAGAAAAAGCTGGCCAATGAATTCAATATTTAAGGCATTTTGCTATACACCTGCGGTTTTATTTTGCCAGAGAATGATATGCACCACTCTAATTGTTTGTTATATTCATCCTGCAGTGCTATGCTTATTATTCTAGATATTGATATCCTTGTGACTTTACATGATCATGACTCTGAAATGGAGTTGAAATTTAGTATTTTGAAATTAAATACAACAATCGACTGTTTTTCAAATTTGGTTGAAGCACTTTTGATCTAAGACAGTTACTTTTCGGAAATTTCTCGGCTTGTAGCTATGCGATTCTGCCCAACACTAGAATATGTTTCCCCTCGACTAGCCACCAATATAATGCCATAACGGCGTCAAGTTTTAATTTGCTTAGCTCTTCCAAAGTTGAGGAGGACGATAAAAAAAGGCTTAAAACGCTCATATTACAGCAACACAAACAGTGAGGAGGGGAGTGGAACTTGATGAGTGTGTCAGGTCTGGAGAGAAAAAGATAAAACTTGCGATACATGGCACATCTTAAACTGACCTCTGAAGACTGGGGATAATTGTACATATTTTTGGTCAGCTGGTACATCGTCTAATTCTTACCTTGTTATCATCCGTTCCTATTCGTTGATTTTTGTTTACTTTATATTTTTCTAAAAGCGTTTCGAGGGGGAAAAACACTTTGTGTGGATAGTGGGATATGTCCTTAGGGAACGTACCCTCCGGATACGAGTGGGTCAGCGGATACAAGTCTATGACATCAAAACCCGCCTGGCATATGGTGGACATGGCGTATGCGCTGAACAATTGAATACGCTGAAAAAAAAAAAATTAAAAAAATAAGATAAGGGATCGGTCTTTACTTATAGCTGTGTCACAATAAAGATTACTTGGTCCTGCCTTAAGGCTGTGCAAAAGTTTAACTTATAACGGTCAAATTTCTATAGTCCCCCTTTAAAATCTCTAAGAGATGACTGATCTCCCTCTCTTCCCCTATGGCGATGAAAAATTGTGGTCCCAAATACTATACTACCAGTCAAAGGTTATCATTACAGAGAAATATGCACTAACCTGCGGTGTGAGGAATCTCTTATCTGTTGGGTTGAACTTCGTTCCCTTATGCTTGAATATAGCTGTAGTTGATTTCCAAATGACCTTCGCTTTATACTTTGTCTCTTTCAACAAGTTTATTACCATCCCGAGGACCTTTTGGAAAGTTGTAAAATTAAGGCTGTACGGATAATGAAGTCCAAGGTTTAAAAGTAATACACTGGAAGGTTGTTGTAGGTCTGTCGTATGAAGAACATCGCGAATAGCATTCAAGACTTTCTCAGGACGGAAGTCAAGGTCTAAATCCTTTTCAGTTTTGCCATCAATTCTTGGATAGAGCCAGTTATAACTGTTTTTGCATTTGGAGTAGAGCCTTTTACACAGGGGTCGAGAGCTGATTGCTTGATGAAAGAAAAGCCCTAATGAATCCCCATAGACCCATAAAGTTCCAGAAGAGTTGTGGTATGCTGGTAAGGACCAGTTGTATGATTCTGTAAGAGAACAATTATTGAAAAGAAAAGTTAAAAATATGAGACAAGTTTCTTCTGCCAGATGACGTTGAAAAAACTAAATGATATATAAAATCCCTCATGTCGAGGGAGCACCGAGTCCAAAAAGAACGAAATTTCAATTCATCCGTTTGATCATAAACAGTCCCTCCTTTATGCGGAATCCTTCGCGCCACTGAAGAAAATAACAGCAATAAAAAAAAAATGTCATCGCGCCGCACGAAACTTTGGGAGTGTCGGGCGCACGAAATCCACTCCCAGAGTTCCACGCGGCGCGCTAATATCATTTTTTTTAGCCGAATTCTTTTGAGTATTACCTCCTATGAAGAGAGGTGCATTCTACCATTTCAATCAGCGACTTATGGCCAAAAGAGTGCTAAATTTGCGAAGCGAGAAAGATCCAAAGTTCAACGCGTGACCTTATTTTACAGAATGATAGAACGGTGGAATTATAGAATGGTGGAATATCCTACCATGTGGAATACCTTGCTGGAGGAAACGAAAGTCTCGCGAAAATAGAATTGCAATGAAATAAGAAAATGATTTATAAAATTGAAATAAACTGAAAAAAAGCATAGTTTAATCACTACTGGAGATTAGAGAATAGACTGTCGAGGAACAGTGAGGTTCTTGAGCTAGCCCCTATAAATTATGATTATTGTTATTATTGTTAATATGACTATTTGTTACCATTTAATTATTGGTTGAGTGTCAACTATTTACTAGATTCTTGAATCATCTCTCTTCGGTTAAATAAGGTTCTCAAAAATATGTGGGATGCAGCAAGTTTCTGTTTTGCCTATGAGAGAGATCTTCTACAACATTACCTTTTAGCATTATTATACAGCCCCTAGTTTTTTTTTTTAATATCATAAAAGTTGTGCCGTATCAGTAACCATATGAAGTCTCAAATTTCCTGTTTTTAACTGGCCTGACGGTCTAAACCGAAAGGAGGTACTGTTCGTAGTCTATGCATCTTTCTAAGCCTAATTACTGGAGCTAATCATAGCCCAATGCCAGCGAATTGAATTAAATGCTTGCAAAAATGAGCATTCCAAATTTTAATTCGACCTAGAAACAATGAAAAAAAAGAGTCATCTAGTGAAATGTCCGTTGCAAAATTTCCACCAGTTTTATCATGATCATTAAAATTATTATTCTTAGTATTATCATTATTATTGTTGATTTTTGTTAGAACGGAAATTATGGCCAGGTTCCTCCTATTTGGCTAATGACAGGTGAGTTCTTACCTTCAAGGTATGGCCGCCAGGTGTCATTCTTCCATCGACCAAATCCTTCCCACAAGTTGTTGCAAGTGGAGGAGCAAGACTCTAGAGAATGAAGTCTGTCTGTAGGGAAAAAAAGATTTAATAAACGATAAATTGAAATTCAGTTATTCTCGAGGTTATTGAGAGATGAACCTTAACATTCTCATGAGTTACCAGTAATAAATCTCTTACTACAGGATTAGTGCATTTCCAAGAAGAAACGTAATGAGAAGAAAGTAAAAAATCAACCGTGGGATATTGTTGAATTGAACAACTTATTTCATCCCGTTTGAAATCACTGGTGGTCCTTGCAATCTTATTGGCTCTCGTCGGTGCGATCTATTCAAGAACCGCACCATTTTTTTTCTCTAGATCCCATCTTTATCTCAGCCTATGAGTAAGCTTTACTAAAGTAAACCAAACGAGCAGATTTTATGGCTTGTTTAAATTAAAGTAACCAATCAAATTTCAGGAAAATGAAAGACAACTTTTGCAACTTTTCATGAAACAGCTCAGCACTGGATCAATAAAATATTTGTACAGACTAAAACATCCTGCATTGGAGCTATTGAATTTTACAATTTCAAAATTGATGTAGTAAAGTTGTTATTGAATGTAGTGTAGTACAATTTTGGTTTGAAAACATGTTTGTGATTTCAAATCAAACTTACACTTATAAGAAGCGTATGGCAATCAGGAAGGATTTATGATATTTGAACGTAAGAGTAAAAGGGTTGATTAAGAAAGTACGCTCGAGGTCTTTAACGCATTATTTCCTACCGCAGTTATATCCAAGACCAACTGTAGCCATACGATCGCTGCAGAGCGCAATTTTCAATCAAGGGTCGAGGGTAATTCGAGCTTTTCTTGGGTTTGCTTTTTATCTCGTAGTATGACGTAATCATACTTTGAGGTTTTGGCGTGGAAGTAAAATTCACTCACTCACTCATTCCACTCTGTTGGACAATTAATTCGTTAATTATGTAAGGCTCGAACCAATCGCGAATTGGTCACTCGCGTTTTCCCGCGCTTGAAGCTGTTTACGTAGAGCTGTTTAGCTCTCATTGGCTGCTCTTGGAATTTTCGCTGCATCTGACTGGTCGTTTTGATTAACTCAGTTTTGGTTTTACGATAATTAGTCGAAAAGCGCTCTAAGTGACACATTCACCCCTACAAAGCGTTCGCGGTCAAAGCCTCCAGGTTACTTACCGGCTAATTTCAAGTTCATCTTTGTTCTTGCTACGTTTATCTCGAAAAGTCTTCCGCCCTGAAGGGGCTTTACCAAATAATCATCCAGAGGGCCTAGAAGACCTTCCTTCTGATATTTGCCTTGAGCGTCCCCTTTAATGAACCAGTCACGTGGAGGGTCCTTGAATCCATCACATAGACTATAATCCAGATAAATTGACAGCTGGTAGATACCAGGCTCCATAATAAGAAACAGAGCCTCATAAGTTCCATTGTTGTGATCAAAAACAGTGGCCGCAATGCTTGATGGGCCACGTACGTGGACTCTCCAGGTGTCTCCACCGATTACTTTTGTTCTGTTATCCGAAGTTTTTGATTGGATGAAAATCTTACTATATTCTTCAGCAGGCCTGATGTCCTGAAATATTATTTTACTTGTGAAGGCGTTGGTTCTGTTAACTTTTCCCCATCCAGCCTTCACCTTTCCCCAGGCCATATTGTCATAACACGGTTTGATTATGGCTTGCCAGTCCGAGCGCGCACGATGCTGACGTAGCCACTCACGACGGAAATCGTCGATTTCGTTCGTTTCGTCCGTTTTGTTCGTTTTCGCAAAATAAAAAATTGGTGGACTATCTCTAGATGGCGTAACTTTTAACAGACTTGAAATAAAAAAAATGACACCACAAAGCATAAAGCAAAGGTGATTCGCAGTAACGACAAACGTCTAAAAAAGCAGAAACGTTCTATTAGTCCCATCACCGCTGTCAAACCTGGTAGTTTACTTGAATAACTAATTCCAGATGAAACTGCTAAGAAGTTGAGTTCCTAGGAAAACATAAGAAACCAGTCATTAATCATTGCCAGTAGAGAGAGAGGGGGAGTCGGTGGATTTGGGGGGGAATCACATGGTTTTAAAGGGGAACAAAGGGGTATAGTCGTTGCCAACAGAGTATGAAGGGGAAACTAATAAAATTGACAGCCAATCACCGGTTAATGAGATCATAAAAATACTACATAGCATTGTAAGGGGATCAGGTCGATTTTATCGCGACACGACCAAAATTCTTCGACTCCCTTCCCTAGTGATTAGTAACGACCAATTTATTTCTAACAACCGTGAATATTTAGGTTTACTGAATATAAATGATCTCTCTCTCTCTCTTTGAATTAGCAAAAAAAAAAAACAAACAAACAAACAAACAAACAAGCAAACAAAAACAACTAAAAGAAGAGTAAAGTTCTTCAAGTTATCTGTAATCCCAAGCACATTTGTTGGCACACATACTACCTCCTTCCGTTCTCAATATTGGTCTGCTAGATGGTATAGAAACATTGGTAATTAACAACATTTGAAGGGTGAGATGGTGAAAGAACTTTGTAGACGTTGCTCTGGCGAAGTGTCCTCACTAATTTTGTTTGGGAGCGTGGCTTCAGATCACAAAGAAGATATAATGTATTTCGAAAATTTCACAGCTAGCCGTAAAATTTTGAGGAATAGAGGGTTTAGGATATCATATCAAAAGTGTAACAGACATGCAAGAGTAGTTGCAAGTATGCACTGACATATGTCTTTCGGCAGTATGTGTATTGTTCGGTTGTGTGGATGGATTGGTTCTACCCAAGTTTTTCTATACACGCCTTCAGTGAGGTGAAAATGTATCTCAGACACATATCTTTAGTGGCTTTCATAGCCCTCTCATTGTAATAAAAGCTAGGACGAGAATAATCAACGCTTATTTCTTAAGTGCACGTTAGATATAAGGCTATGACTAATCTCTTACCTAACAAGCGTCAATGGATTGATTGTTTTTTTAAATTTTCCGCTTTTCGGTAATGCTGTGGGAGTTTTTTTTTCCGCACTCAAATTTCTGTTTAATTTAAGCGACCGAAAGTCAGTGTTACTTCCGACCGCCAAAAGCATATGACACGCGCAACGCCTTACGACCGAAGCGGAGTGAAAATTCATCGTTAAGCAATTTACACAGCCGGACCTGAATATCTACACGAGATACGACATACAGTAATTTCGGAACATAGAAACGTTTCAGGGAACAAGTTACAATATTAACGAGACAAGCATTCAAGTAGGTTTGAGTTCCAGCTTACCGACAAGCGAAAAATGCTGTGCACAGTTTGTTCAAGTGTTGTTTAGCCGGTGCCGAGTACAACTTATGATACAGGCTAGCTTTCTTTTGAATATCCAGTAAAGACCTCAAAGATGAGCTTTTGTAACGCGGGTTTTGGTAGAGCGTAGAAATTTCTACGAAAATTTCCAAGTCATCCTGAAGTTCTAAAGGTAACCGGCTATTCCTTCTGTTACGGCAGCCTCTTTTTTTTTTCAAGACCATTAAATAATAATTTCAAGTGCAAAATGTTTCAGGGAAACTTCAAAGGTCAGTACCATTTGATATCTGATAAATCCTACTTTGTGGCTTTTACTTTTGATTTGTTTAAAAGATGACATTGACTAGTATTTGATTCACTTTATTTACAGAACACGATAGAAAATGTTTGCTTCCTGCCAAAAGTAGGTGTCCGAACTGTCCTTACAGCCCCTCAATAGAAGAATGGCGCCCAGCTGAACGACGAGGCCCATAAGAACATTCATGTGCGAGGCAGAATCACTAATTAACAGTTAAAAGGTACGATAAGCGTCTTTACACATTTCCGATCGCCTCAGTCTCCCTCCCGGTCAGCACTTGAAAACAAATATTTACACCCTAGTGGGAAAAAAAAGTGATTTGCCCCAGTCGCCCCACACCCCAAAAATCTAATGTTCCGTCCCTAAAATGCCTTTTACATAATTCTAAAATGAGTGTCGTTTCAGAACGAAATGAATTTCATAACGCGTTTACATCCAAGATAATTTAGTCTGTAAAAACAATTATTTATGTCCTTTTCTGTCTTTTTCTATCCTTCCCTCGCACCTATAGAGGACTCATACGGATATAAGAGGCAGAGCGATGACACGATGTCAGAATTTTGATTTGCTTTAATTTAATTTTCGCGCTAAGACTACTGAATTTGCATTTAATGCCTGGCATATTTTTATTCCGAAAAGGACCAAGAACTAATTTATTTCCCTGCAAGAACATAAACAAATATGGCCGACGATTCGAAGATCAGCGTTGCTCGTGTTTAACTATTTCAGTCATAGTTTTCAACATGGCGTCCCGTCACTTACTCAACATGGAAAATAAGGGAGAGTCTGGCGCGTTGGGAACTTTTTTGATGGGAGGAAATGGCAATTTTATAGGATATTTGGACGCTTCGAACTCTATAGCAGTCAATTCGATCGAGAGAAGTTGACTTTATTGATGCACTTTCCTGTAATAGGCGAGTGTTTTGGATGGAGAACGACGGATTTTGAAGAACTGTATGGCGACCTAGGTCAATGATCAATGACAAAAGAACTGGCTCGGGAAGTTAGTGGTTTTTATTTATCGAGTCCCTGTGAGGTTTGATGAATAGCAGAATCAGTAATGAATATGTCTCGATCGAGAGCAGACGGGACCATGAGCTCCTGATTGTTATATTTTAGAAATTTTACTAATTTCCATACAGTTTCTTATATTGTTTGGACGCCATTATAGACGAAATGCGTAAGCGCGGCCGCCATCTTAATCGAAACAGCTAATAAAATCATAAATAAACAAAATAAGAATGTTTCGTTAGATTTTTTGTACAAATTGTAGTGATTTATGCGAGTGAGGTTATGAGGTCATGAGGTCACACAACACGGGTAATATTCACGGTAAAAATTTGCATATTTAAGCGGTCGAACGAAAAAAAATCATTTCTCGAAAACTAAAATACATTTTCGCCACAATTATTAGGATATATTGGGCTAAAAAATATCAAAGGAGGAGTGAAATCGAATTTTGGGCGACTTGCCACAATATTTCAAATTTGTGCGATGGATGCTGATATCCTCTCTTAATACAAGAGAAGGATTTCTATAGAGGATACACTCCAAACTGCACAGAAGAAGTATTTGCAGTACATAAAATCCAATATGATCCAATCACTTACAAAAGAAAGGACTTGAATGGTGTAGAAATAAACGAATCATTTTACGAGCCAGAATTGTTAAAAGCCAAACAAGATGTATTTGGTATTAACAAAGTCTTCTGGAGGGATTATAAAACAAACGAGCTCTGTTGAAGTGGAAAGGATATAGTGATGATTTTAGTAGTGGGATACCAATGATGAATGAAAATGATGGTGAATTAAATACTGAGATAACTTTATATATTGACAAAAAGAAAAATATGTGGTTCAGGGGAAGATATAGTGCTAAGATATTCTGACACAAACCAAGCTTTATGAAAACATATTGGTGAGGAAGATAAAATGACCAGACCCTTTGTTTCGACGGGTCAGGTCTGTCATACAATTTTTATAAAAGAAAGCGGTACTTACTCAAAATTATTTTTTTGCAGAGGGCACGGTAACGAATCCTTCATTCTGATTGGTTCTTACGCGGGCCGTATTTTCAGAAAAATATTGGTTTCGAAATGAATTTGTATGAACAAAAATGTCATTAAATTGGTCGCGAAGCGGCCTAAAAACCGTCTGTAATTAATTTTAATCCTTCACAAAAAGTATCTGGAAAGTTTAAACGTGAGGTATTCAGCTACAATTGAATTAATCGATGGAACTTTTATTCATTTAATATCTGAATTATCTCAAAAAATTTTTTTAGTAGTGAAAGGGCGAGCGAAGTTTTCAGTTCTACTACAAATACGCTTTTGGTGAGTCTTTCCGAGTCCGTTTAATTTGGACATTTGTACCGTAAATCGCATAACAGAAACTGAAGGAATTCACCAGGAAAGTCGTATTAAAGCCCCTTGTGTATAGTTGAAGTGTCTCATTCAAATTTAGTTTTTGTGGAGGAAAGACCAGATTTACACTTTCCATTGCAGCAGACAAACGAGCAAGCTCTCACAACTTCAGAATGAAAAGTTTTAATTTACTTGCAATTAATTTTCTTGCCATTTACTTACTGAGCAGAGGTAAATCTTTGTACATTAATCAACCGTCGATGAGAGAGAATAATAATTTCCGCAAGATCATTTACTGATTTTCAAGAAAAGATTGTCGTAACAGTCCTTACCACGACTAGTTCCGTTGTTTTCTCAAAAGTGCACATGTGCTTTTTTCCGTGGGTGGGCTCAAGTGTCAGACACAGTGTTCCAAAGTTTGTTGGAAGCCTTTTAAATCACCTTTATCGCTGCACAAATGAAAACGGTACGGCAAAGCCTCTCTCTTTTAATTTGATTTGGCTCTATTTTAAGTACCATTTCCTCGCTCAAAAATTGTCCAGTTTATGGAAGATCTTCCTGTAATTACAGCCCTAAACCATTTGGCTTCTTTTGGAAAGAATTCCGTTGAGTTTAAGAAAAAAATAATAATAAAAATTTAATTCACTAGCCCAGGCCGGTCCGTATTGGGAAAAATTGTGTCCTCTGTCTTGAGTTGACGCACGAGCGATCAACCGTTGAAAAGTAGATTCTAAGATGAGCGCCAAATGTGGATCTTTTAGGAATTGTCACTGGCTAGAAGAGATAATCTGCGGGCTTGCCCGATTGCAGTTTCAAGAGAAGCGTACAAATTCGTTCTGACTTCTTTGACCGGTTCCTGCTTTTGGACGATGCATAGCTTGGATTCACGTTCTGACGATGATGTAAATAGTAATGTGAGCTCCCTCTATGTAGAAATAATCGACAAGAATCGATCGTATTACAAATGCACGATTTGTGGCGGAAAGTTGTCCAGGAAACAAAACTCAAACCCACTCTGTGCAAGCTTGGTTGCTGTGCTGATCGATTTGTTGATCAGTTCAGTTAAACATGACCAAAGCGACGATCCGGTTTTGCTGTTATTCTTTACATACAGGGTGTTACGGAACCC